AAAATAAAACAAAGGGACGTGTGAAGGCGCACAAAAAATCCGGCGTTGTAAGCCTTAATCGTGGCAGGAAGAGTGCAGGGGTGTAAGGGGAGACGTGGAGCGAAGGCCGAGAACATGCTGAGACCGAGTCTCGTCGACTTCCGTACGAAACGGGCCGCCCGCGGAGAGCTCGGAAGTGGCGACCGGAAACTTTGAAACAACCGCCCCGGAAGCGCTCCATTTCCGCGAAAGGCCGCTGACCATGCAAGGGAAAGCCGTGCGTGGTATGTGTGTTGTTGATCGCTGTTCCTGTAAGCTACAGCCCCCGGCAACCGGATTCAGCGTTCATCACTTCTCCTCTGGCGCGCTTCGCAAATCTAATAACCTCGAGCAGGGGTAGGGACAGATGGATATATATGCAATTATGCAATAACTCTATCGCGTGCGATGAACGCCAAGTGTGGCTGAATGACACCGCAACCAACACCCCCTCACGTCATGGTCGTCTGCTTTAAAAAAAGTGGTGTCCAGCTCGAAGGAAGTGCGGAGCTTGGAATTAGGAAGCTGCAAGCGATCCGAAGACTGCATGCAGGTTAACTGGGTCTCTGATAATCACGATGACGATGATCATGCTCATTGGTTGATTGGAACCAAGGAGGATTTTTGGTTGGCACCTACCCACTCATGGAGATCGTCCAAAAGCCGGCGGGTCATACAGACTGCATTTATTAATATCAATATCGTGCAGGCGCTAGTCTCAAACGTTAATTATGATTTTGCAGAACCTCTCAATGATCAAAGATATTTTTATATATTTGGATGACATACAGAAGAATTATTAGTGGTCGATCCAACGTGTAATTCTTTTTGAGTCTCGTATAAATCTTTTGACAGCATTGAATATATTACTGTCCGAGTGTTCCATCGCATAGGCCCAAACGGTCGACGTAACTGGTAGACCACGTTGTCGCGATATAAATTTTATAATTCGTTTTTTACGCAAGAAAAAATGTCGCAAAAGGCTCAGTATAGTTTCGAGCTTTATGCAAAAGTATCGAGAAGGAGAGATCGCCAGGCCCGCGATGCGCATGTTTAAATTAAGACCTGGGATTCTGCATCGCATTCTGGTCATTGCAACTTCTGCCGATCTTGTTTCACATCATTTCCTTCTCCAAAAGAACTGAAGGTGCTGAAAAGTGGGTCCCTGCCAATGGCAAGATGTCTTTTCGCCATCTTCACTTTCTTCATATTTCTATCGCAATTACTAACATACACTTAAAGCAGTACAATCGACGTCCGCTATACATTATTCGGCTTCATTATCTGTCGCTTTTCATTCCGCTGTTAAACGTTGGAAGCTCCGTCATGTCTTCGCTTAAGACATCTGGAAGCCGAAAGTTTCTTTTTTCTTCTTCTTCTCCGTCTATTGGACGAATAATAAAAACTGCGAAGTTATTTCGCATATTTTCACGTATGCACAATATAGTTATAAAACTTCAGAGGAAATTACCACATGAACAATATTTTATTGTATGGCGCTCGATGCAGGGAGACTATTACTGCAGGTTAATGACCTGTTAATTCGCCATGCCCGCCACATTGAGGTATTACACTAGAGGAAACTCTGGCACTCTTGTCTATGGTAACTGCAAAATACGGCGCTTCAGCCAACATGGGAATGATGGGTAGTACGCGGATTTGTCTAATCTTTATACTTTCGGCTCCATTTGGCTTCGCATGGCTTGGAGTTGCTTTGTCAGGAAACAAAAATGAGCAAATGTTCAGCAATTGCACTTCACTACCTTAACCTGTTTTATGCTCACCATTTCAAACGGGCTCACGAGGTTCATAACCACCAGTTCTTTCATTCGAAACAAAGCCAGAACAGAGCAAACAACAAACCCAATAGTGCGTTCGAAGCCCGCAAGCAGGATAGCCATAGGCAAATCCGTGTACTACTCATCATTCCCATGCATGGTCGCTGAACGATCGCAGTGCCCTCTAGCTAATTAAAAAAAACTATGCATTGAGGGATATCGTGAGCAGGCAGTTGACCACCGCATCAGGCAAGATGATGATGATCACGATCAGTCTAAATATCCACGAACATAGAGTTTCTCACATCCATGATCCATTTTGATCTTCTTCTTCGTCTTTCATCACTATAAATCCCTCGAATCTAACGGTATTTCTAGGCACTATATTAACACCCTGCCTCTTCTAACGTTCCTCGCTTCGATTCTTCTACCTCTTTTTCTTTTATGCGCAGAATATATAAATGGGAGCCCACAATAATAACTATTCCGCAATGTTATCGCGGTACCAATCTTTCGCCTGCACCACTACGAATACATTTTTGTATTGTCTTACTATAAATTGTCGCGATTGTACCGTCCCTATAGATGGCGCTTGTAAAAGCGTTTCAATGCACTGACGAAGAGAAAGTTGCGCGAGCAACGTTCTCTTTTCTATTCTCTATTGCTCCATTCTCGAGGAAGACAACGATAAGGTACGGTTCTCAGTTTTACGAGCGCTCTTGAATTACCGACGAAATTCGCCCTTGCTTTGCCGATTCGCGCGACTCAGTCGTGACGAAGACGTTTTCTTAACGCGTGAGTGAATGTCCGTGTGTTTACTGTCAACAATTTTTTTGTTCTCGCGCGATCAGCTTTGCGGGGAACGAGACATGTTCCGCACACGAGGCGCCGATCGACGTGACCGTCCAGTGAGATCTGGCGGCTGGTTGTGATGGCTACACTCTTAGTGCTAGATATAACCAGGACATCGGACATTTTTCGTCTAGTTTCCTGTATATTGCCAGCAGTTATCCCAGATCCGATTAAGAGTGTACCTTGGCAAGTTCTTGCCAGTGTTTCCGCACTACCATAACTAGATTAATGGCAGCAAGCTACCCGACCTTCGAGCGAAAATACTGTCTGACAATGTACCGAGCGGATTGGGAACATCCCATTCAGGGATGTGCAGCTTTCTCAAAAGGCAGGCAGTGCGCGCTCGACATTTGCTGCATGTTGACGTCACAGCATAGGTCAGTGAACTCGCTCGTGAGTCGACTCACTCAAACTTGGATCTCGCCGTGAGTTTGAGTGAGTTCGGTTGAGTAAAAGTTAGGAGAGTTTGAGTCCGAGTGAGTCCGGTGCACGAAAATTTCGTGAGTATGAGCCTGATCAAAAATTTTGGCCATTTTGAGTCTGACTCCAAACCGCAAGATAATGTTCTTCAGTGCCTCTGGGTGAGTTGCACTTTTTCTTGCTGTCCTATGCATCACACTTCTACGGAATTTAAAGAATTATGGCCGCCGCCAAGCACGGACAGCTATGACAACGTACGGCAGTCAAGGTAGACCCTTCCGACTGGTGTAAGAGGTCGACTGGCTTTTGCTAATGCATGACGTGAAGTTGCTCATCGGCCTTTATTCCTTTTAACCCTTCCTATTTTTATCCCCAACGGCGGCCACAGTCGTTTTCTTTCAGTTTACATTCATTCATTCATTTTTTGCTAATTGTTCTCAAGTATGAAGATTGTTTCAAGTATAAAGAATTGTTCAAACGATACCAGATTTTACGATGTGCACGTTTTAACGAGGAAATTTTCATTCCTCGGTAGGCATTTATACAGGTTCAGGACCCAGATTTGGGTGCACGTTAAAGAACCCCAGGTGGTCTAAATTTCCGGAGCCCTCCACTACGGCGTCTCTCATAATCATATAGTGGTTCTGGGACGTTAAACCCCACATATCAGTCAATCAGGTTCAGGACTTTCATAAATTCGATTTAGCAATTTATGACTCCACCATTTCCTCTGTCGCTAACGCTTTAATACACCTTGGAGCCGTCACGACCCTTGCCTTTATTTCGAAGCTACTGCACGTCGAGCCCATGCACGGACTCTGCGCTCGATCGGTAGCGTTCCTATGTTACCACATCGCACTAGGATGGTTGTGGTTGCCTTCTTTATTTCATGCTTTATGGGACGGATAGCATCTGACCGCATCTTCACATTTTTGTCGCTCGACCAGCTCGCACAATCACCACATTCGTTCTCCGTGTCTCTGCTTATCATTACCCTGTCGTAGCTGCACGTGACCGCTTAGATAGCCTGCTGGATCGACCTCAATCGCGGGTTTTTCATTTTACGAGGTTCCCGGTTTAGCGAAATAATTCACGCGCTGTCATCACTTTGCTAAATGGAGTTTTAACGGCATGACCAGTAGTCAACGTGACTCTTAGTTCAAACAACGAATCTTCGGGCTAATTTATGCTTCGTAATTGGACTTCTCTAGACCGCAACGGTTTGGCAACAGATAGCGCTGACGTCAGCGCCCTATGTGTTTCTTCGTTCTGTAGTCCTTATTTCATAAGGCTGGACAACTTAGAATCGGCCAAAAAATTTTGTGTGCATTTCGTGATCGAGGCATTATAGACGCTCAGCTAAATTTAAAGCTCAGTTAGTGAGTGCCATTCATGTCTATTCACGTTACTTTATCATTAGAGGCTAGTAGCACACAAAAATGAATGTGTTTTCTAAGGTCACGCCGTTGCAACAGAAAGTTCGGTTTACAAGAGCACTTTCATCGCCCACCAGATAGAATATGTGAACTAGTGTTAGCTAGTGTTGACTGCACAATGGGTCTATTGTAAGCACTGACTAGACATTTTAAACTATGACTGATGTTAGCTCAGTGTGTCTAATTTATTCCAACTACTGGCCAAGTTGCTGCTGATGTTGGATATAATTGATAATGTGGTAAATACCTACGGGGGCTTATGTTTGCATACATGCTGGCTATGTTATAACTAGCTGAACGGAGACATCCGGACTGCTTGGTGTTGAATGCAGTCAAGTAATTATACTCGCAAACAAGGAAACGGACGAGAGAAAAACACCAACAAGGCCAGGCCAGTGTTCGGGCCTGTGCAGGCTGCCCACTGTCACACTGTTGTCATTCATTTTCGGTTCGACAATCTGGTTCTAACCGGGGCCTCTCTTCATTGTCTCTGCAGTCGGTGATCCAGATGTCGGGATTCAGGAGCCTGGGCGACGACGAAGAGGTGGAGTTCGAGTGCAAGGGCTCGGAGAAGGGCGTCGAGGCCACGGCCGTGTCGGGACCCGAAGGGGGCGACTGCAAGGGTTCGCACCGGAGGCCCATGTCCAAGAAGCGCTTCCGAAAGATCAGGTGCACACACGCGTTCCATTTCCTACATACGTACACGGTTTGTTCGTATTTATTAATGATACTGGGTCTGGTAAAACGTATGCATGTAATCGATCTTCGCACATTAATGAAATTCTTCGAAATAGTTTCCTTGGACGTTGAGACACACCACTTGAAATATGATTCTGACACCGCAAAGGCTCCCTGAAAATCGGCTGCAGTGACTTCTTTCGGAGATTTTGTGGCCGCCCGTAAATGGCGTGAAAACCGAGGAAACATTTCAGGTTTAATCAACCTTGGGAGCACACCAGGGTTGTGTGGCCATGATGCAGCCGTGAGGTGAGCTCGGCACGCGTATTCCTGTTTCCACTGCGTACTATTCAGTCCGCAGGTAAAAACAAGCTATAGGGAATTCGCCGATTCCTCGTTTTCAGGCCGTCCAATCAGTGGTCCCAGTCTCTGAAAGAGGTCTCGACAGCGGAATTTGCCTGCAGGAAACATTTGCAACGTGAGAATAACATTAAAAGCGGTGTACGATTGACGTTCAGGAAAACAATTTCGAGTAGTTTTACTAGCACTACCGATCGGATAAATTTTACTGTTTTTACCTCGGCCAGTTTCATTATCATACGACGCATCATTCGAGAGCGTGCAACGCTGTTGTTCCTCGATGGCGTATTCGAATCCTTATTGCGAACTGTCTCGCTGCATGTCCACGAAGCTGGAGGTCAGCGTTGGGCAGTGAGATTTACCGCTAGCTTTGTCGGCCGTGCGAATTCGGCTTTTCACATGGCTTCGATGTGCGTGCCTGCTGAGGGAAACAGTCTCCTAAATTTACAAAAACAAAGAATGAGAGAGGCAGAGACAGAGAGAAAGAAAGATCAGACAGCAGCGCAACGTGCGTCAGTTCCGAACCATGGTTCGCTTCTTTTGTTACCCCTCTTCCATTCGTCTGCGATCATCTTCAGGTTAGTGCGCGCCGGAACACGCTTACCACACTACTATTTATACAAATCAAAAAATGTTTTCCCTCTAACAATGTCCCAAACGCAGACTCTTTTATGACAATGACTAAACTAAAACGACCGGAAGCCACTCGGGGAGGTTAGTCAAGCACGCCTGCAGCTTAATACTTCTCGTGGAGTATGCTTTCGAGGTTAAAAGACACGCAGAAATGGCTGGCTGGTATAGAATGCAACCGAACAGCGCCCGAGGCGGGAAGAGAACAGACATGAACAAGTCTGTGTCGGTCAGCTTTACTTAATTCAGTCGCAAGCGCTATTCGATTCAGTTCCTGTAGAAACAACGTATACTCTCTCTCTCTCTCTCCACGCGTCTTCCAGAGGGTTACGCGGTCGAGTCGGCACGCGTCACAGCGTCTGTGTCGCCGCGATAAAACGTAAACAGTACACGTACGCGCAACAAGCGTCCGCACCAAGTGGCCGCACCCCCGATTCGTCCCACTTTAATCGCTTCCACGTCGATAGGCCGTCGCGAGCAAGGTTGGGGAGGCGGGTGTGAAGGGTCTCTAAATAACGACTCGCAAGGGTGCCGCTAAGACTGACATCGTGCCCCGCGCAGCTCCGGCAAGAAAATCCCCAGCGTATAGTGTATGTGTACCGTATACACACCGATGTCCCCATCCGCGCTATCTTTCGCGTAAGGGCGAACAGAGGCCTCGCGACTGCGTCTCCACATTCGATCTGCGAGATGGAGATGCATGGACCGCGGCGAAAATCGCGCGCTGTGCGTGCGTGTATGTTTTTCGCGCTCGTTTCTGGGCGATCCACTTCGCGCACGCGCCATGCTGTTATGCCCTCCTTCTTTCCCCGAGCTGCTCTATTGTCCCTACGTGCCTCCGATGCGTGGCTTTCGGGCGTCCGTGAACTTCGCCAAACCCTGTTCGTGGTAAAACTGCGTGCTCAATACGGTGGCGCTTCGTTCCGTCTTCTCTTTGTTTCGTCTCTTCACTTTTGGCTCGCTGCATGCTATCGCGGAGTGACGAAGGCTCCATAAATCTCGCTCCCTCTAACGGCTCCGCGAGGAATTGTCGGGTCGCGGACACAAGAGGAGGATGGACATCAGCGCGCGTCCTGTTGCTAGGCCTGCGTGTATATCCTGCGCTTTTCAGAAGCTTTTTCTCGAGTCTGCACTGCTGCAGGCGTTTAGTGCGAGCGTTGCCTCATCACGCGTCTGCTGTCTGTTTCAGCGTCCGCAAGAAGTGTCACTTAAAAACGTGTGTTCGTTTCGCTTAGATGGTTTGAAATATTGTTCTTTATGTTGTTTGGCGAAAGAAACGGTGTACTTACAGTGCTCACGAATTAAACCACGACATCAGAAGCTTTAGTATGACCACTTGTATAAGCTAATGCTCGAAATAACCCCGTCACGTCTCCAGCACTCTGAACGCTAAAGGTAACGTTCATTCCGATGTTAAGCATTCGAGTCGAAATCACGCCAATATTTTTTTTTAACTTAAAAGGTTGAAATGAAAGAATGCATTCCTTATCGTCTAGTTGTCGAGTTTCAATTTCCGAGTATACTATTTCTGAACAAAAGATCAATATTTTTCTCAGCAGCGTACTAGTCAAGTTTTTTTGTGCTGTTGTGTACTACCGTTGATACATTATTACTTGTGTTCGTGTACTTATGAAAAGTGCATGTTTCTCTCCAGCTCCTCACCTTTCAGTCTTTTTCACTCAGTCCGGGTAGAAAGCCTTCTCAGCGCTGTTACTTTTCGCACCTTTCCCGTTTAGCGCAGTGGTTGCAGAGCCGCGGGTCATGGGATCGAATCCCGTCTGCGGCGGCTGCATTTCCGATGGAGGCGAAAATGTCGTAGGCCCGTGTGGTCAGATTTGGGTGCACGATAAAGAACCCCGGGTGGTCAAAATTTTTGGAGCCCCTCACTACGGCGTCTCTCATAATCATATGGTGGTTTTGGGACGTTAAACCCCACAAATCAATCAGATCAATCAAACCGTTTAGCACAGTAGTGATGCGAACAAGTAATCTTATGCTACCGATACGCGCAAATCATGAGATGTAGGTGGTACTCGTTTACTGTGACAACATAAGTAGGCAGCTTTTGAAATGTACGCATTCTTTTCCCCGTTGGTCATCGCTACTAAATTTTCTAGGAATGACACTTCCCAAACGTCCTGTTCGGTCAGAAAGATGATTACATCCATTTCCCCGAGAACAACTGATTACTTACCCGATTTGTGTTATCTGGGTCGTGACTTTACTTCTCTCTCTGTTTCGTCAGTGAAACCGTGCCCATGCATATGTACTTGCACATGAACTATATTGGCGCTCCTCAGTTGCTCCCACGGGCAATCGTTTACACGTGCATTTCGCATTGCCTTGCCTGACGCAGATGCTACAACTGCGGTGAGTTCGCCAACCACATCGCAGCCAAATGCACCATGGGACCGCAGCCAAAGCGCTGCCACCAGTGCAAGTCGACCGAGCACCTGATTGCCGACTGTCCACAGCGCGAGGACAAGAAAGCCACCAAAGCAGGAGGCGCTGCTGCGCCTGCGACGACGACCGCGACAACGTCGCCGCCAACGCAGCACGCGAGCACGAACGGCGATAGCAGTCTTCCAGAGGAGCCCCTCGACAACGCCGCGACGGTGGACGAGGCCGCGGACAACAACAACGCCAAGCACGCCACGCCGCAGCCTTGAGAGAGTCTCAGAAAAGATGGCCTCTCGCACATGTCTCTGTTTCTTGCCACTTTTTTTCTTTGTTTGCGGGCCCGTAAACGCAGACGCAAACACCGAGGCGGCGGGCGTTGCTTGCCGAAAGTTCCGGCGCCATGTTACACGCTGACCGCGAAAGCTGGCGGAACGCGAGAGACGCAACGTGTATAGAAAGATGTCACTGGTGAGGTTTAGAAACAGCGAAACCAAAGTGCTTGGTGGGTGAAAGATCCGCTTTGCATAAAATACGACAGCCTAAACATTGACGCGAGTTTAGCGTCCACTAGCGCACCACGCCGACATAGTACTTATATTCGCTCTTTTTGAAATCTCTCTATTTTCCTGTTATATGTTAGGAATTCGTGAGCTTTGGGCTACCATCAGCTAAGCTTTACGTCTACCCTGTGAAAAAAAAAAAAAAAGACGGGGAGTTTGGTTCTACTTAATGGAACGGGCGATGGTAGCTTTAAGAAAACGCCTTGTTTGTCAGGCGAACCGTGGCATGTGCTTGTTAAAAGCAGGCTTTAAATCTTGCCGCGCTTTGTATACAAGCAAGTTCAGATAGCCGACATTGCTTTTCTGTTGGTGTATCAAAATTCTTTGAAATAATAAATGTCTAATTTAAGGAGTTAGAGTACAGGGACATAATGTACTCAAATCTCGAAGGTAAGTTCGTCAGAGTTTGGTTACTCCGCATAAAAAAAGTTGGTGAAGATTCTAACGTTGAAGTATCCTTCGGAGAAATTCTATTTCCTCTGGAAGCTCAATGACTGGTCTTATTTCACTTTGCTCACGATGATTTGAGCCTTCAACAAGTGTCATTTCATTCAAATTGGCTATAGGCTTATTTTGGGGGGTATTGCGACAACATTATTATGCGGGAGTAATTCTCTTAGTTTCATACCTACACTCGGCGACAAGTTTCTGTGGCGGCACAGCCAAGGCTACGAAGCCGAAGGACGCCCTTTCTTACTACGCTTCTGCATGTAGTCCTCGAATGCTTAATTTAGTATGCTGCGTAGCATAAGAGAAAATATAAAAAGAAAAGATGTAATTATTATGTTCTGTTCGAACTATTATTACGAAGCATCACCCGTGTAAGTTTTTCGTGCTTTGCTGTTTCTAGTTTTCGTGCTTTCTGGTGCCATTTCACTTTTTCCCTGCCCCGGTAAACAACGATGGCGTCGCTCAGTTGCAGCAAGTTCACATCGAAGCTTGTGAGCGAGCATGAGTGCGTGTTGATTAGGTGATCGCTATTCATCGAGCAGGAAAAAACGAAGACAGCGGTGCGTCTTCGAAAAATAACGTGAGCGTCTCTAGCCAGCTCTTGCGTCTCTAAAAGAAGGAAAACAAAACCGTTATTTAGGAAACGATTTCTTGGCTTTGCGTTGTTCCAATTGCCCAGTACTCTGCTCGGCCGTACTTTTTCTTTTTTTTTTCTGAATTAAACAGCAATGCTCAAAGAAGCTTCGCGTTTTTTTTTTCTCTTTAAAATGAAAATCTAATTCATTTCCTCCCAAATAAATGTAAGATTTATTGCATGGTGGTCGTGCTAAAAAGTACATGTTCGATGCACTTGCGAAACCGAAACCGAAATTTCATGAAGACGGACTACTTGGCGTAATAACGAATGTGCAGAAGCTCCGCCCTCGTGGTTCTGGCTGTGCTGCCACAGAAAGTTGTCACCGAATATAGCTTCATCTTCAAAGTAGTAGCATACCGGAGTATGTCTACACCGTTCGTGCCAATAGAGTACTCCGTTGAGCGCTCCGAAAGTTGCCGAAGACGGAGTAAAACGTGGGAAAGGATTATAACATTCGCAAGAATAAGCGATAGCACTCCTGCCACACTCCACGGTAACTGGGGAAGTTAACGAAATCATTTCCTTTGATTGACAGCGAATAACTTGGGAGAACGAAATGCGATTGGAACGAAGTGTCAGAGTGAACAGTTATAGCCCGTTTTGTTATCCCAAGACTAGCGAATGTCCAGAATATTTCGAAGTGAGTGAATGACTATCAGCATTACAGAAGAAAGAAGACCAAAGACCGCCTTCATGTGTGCACAATCAAAATAACGACTTTGCAATGTACCCGACAGATACTCAATTGCTGTGCACCGCTTTGAACCAAGCAGTGAGATCTAATGCACCAGAACCACTACAAAGTGGCTGGACGTATATACAAAGCTGCAGCAACCGTGTCAGCACTTCCGATAAGTGATGTTACGTTTTTTTTCAAACTCTAACATACATTTATCGTTGATAAGCATAATGCTGGAATCCACGAGAAAGCATCGGGCCGAATACGGGTCATTACGTAAAATTAATATATTCTTTGTTCGTATGAGATTATTTGATGTGTAGCATCTGTTCTTATAACTGATAAGCAAGGTTCTGATGACTGGTTTCATTGGAGTCCGTGCACTCACATTTACAGCTTGAAGATTTGCCTGTTAGCTTATAATGTGTACTTGCGAAATGTAAAGAGAAACTTACGCAAACAAGGAAAATTTTGAGAGAAGCTCACTACCTTAGACTTTTCGTGCCCTGGACAGCTTTGGCAGGTGTTTAACACCAGTGATTAACCAAGCAAATATCAAGCATCCAAGCTTCTAGCACACGATTATCTTAATGCAACTCTGGTCTTCGAAATATTCAGGTGGTGCGTGATTGTTAGTGCCGAACAGCACATTTTCGCTCCTACATATCACTTGCATGGCATTCTGTCTGAATCGCGCCATATATGCATTGTGCCCTGACGTACACAGCGCGGAGAAAGATATGATTTTCACGAAAGTTTTGGATCTACGGAGAACGCAATCGGTGCCACACCTCAACTGCGTACGTCGTCTGCCTACTGCACACGCCTATCACACAGTTTGATAAATGGTGTTGTTTGTCAAAAAAGAAAGTTCAGGGAACAAGGGAGAGGTCTTTCAGTTGCATTTTTCTTGGTGTCTGCATTTGGAACAGTTTTAGCAGTCACTTAATTTAACGGAAAAATGGCGAAATCGTCGTCAATGCTGTCGCTGCCTCACTTTACGTTTTGTTGTACTTGCTGTGCCAAAAAAGGAAAAAAAAAATGTTGACTGCCATTGCGACGAAACGTGTATTTTTGGTCGTCTCAAGGTACGAACTTAAATTTTACACCAAACGTTTTTCTCTGTGCCCTATATCTAGCAGAGAATCTCTGATATCATCTTTGCAAAGATTCATGCTTGTTATACAAATATATAACGAAACGAGAATACAGAAAATAAAACTTAACAGAGGCGCTTCCATCGAGGTATGCTTCCACTCGCTGCCATTCTTCCGGGTTTGTACCGTCGCGTCTGTGTGTGTATGATTGGCCCGCCGAATGCGCCGGCAATTTGTACAAAACTGTAAGACTAAGAGAACTTCGTTGCGTGGTGACCACAGTTGTGTAGAACTTGTTTTCCGAGGCCGTGTTTTGTTTTGTATTTTTGTTTTATTTCTTCCCTTGTTCAGTGATTTGACGATGTTGTTGCTTCTTTTCTTTTTCAATCTCGTATAGCGTGTGATGGTGCGGTTGAAAGAAAAAAAAAAGAAAACGTGTATGTGCGTGTGTGAGCGTAATATGCGGGATTATGCGCTCTCTGGGCTTGCAGTGTAATGGTCCCAAAGAAGTCTGTAATTGTGGTCTATAGATTACCCTCCCTGTTAGTTAAGGCTTCAACGGATCAGCCGTGGTTTCACCTTGTCAAGCGATGTCTTGAAGGGACATTATAGAGAAAAATACGAGTTTATTATTAAAAAGGAAACGAAGGTTATAGTTCCGTCATTTTAAATTTCGTGCCGAAAAATTCCAGCACCTGTGAGTCGCTACGATGTCATGACGTCACACCACGCCAAAAATTTGAAACGTCAATTTGACGTCATGAGTTTTGAAGTATTTGTTGAGTACTTAGGTCGCCATCGCTTACTAAATTTTTGCGAAGTTGGATAAGTCAAGTCTTTTAAACATTTCTATGATTACAGTTCGTCTGTCACTATCTAAAAATAAAATAACGCAGACGTGACGTCAAGTGTAACGTCAATAGGTTGTGGCGTCCCGCGTGTGTGTCATTGTTCGTGCGAATGGTTTCGCATATCAACTTGTCTCGTCGCACACTAACAGTCGTTGTTCCGTATTGTTGGGGCTTTAGACTAACAAAGCTGAAATAATTTTATCTTTAATGTCCCTTTTAGATCACAAGAAAGCTCGCTTCTCATTTGATGCGCTTTGACTCCTTTTTTTTATGTGGTCTCTCCGAAATGGCATCCGAGTTTCCAGCGTTTTGTCACCTCATGTATCTCATCTATCTTTGCTTATATGATCAGTTTTGTTGAAGACAAACTATGCGTTGAAAGTTTTATATTTCTTGTTAGTTGAAACCCTTGGACCTCCGGTATAAAGCGATAACAGGAAGTTAGCTTGAGTCAACTACAAATGAAAGAGAAGGAATTGTGGGAGATGGCACACTTACTTGATTTACAAAGAAGAACCGGATTCCCTATTACTGTCCCTGGATGTTTTGTACAGTGTTTTGCTTTGCAATGCAGTCGTCTTGCGAATGAAATGCTCAATTATCCATGTCGTTTATAGATCGAATTACTACAGCGATCTCTTCGTGTTGAGATGGTTAAGAACTGGCACTTGGCTGATCGATCCGGAGGCCAAGGATCAACCATTATAGTCTAGAGAAAGAAAAGAAAGAAAACTTTTATAGTTTGTATGCCCTTTCGTGCTTTTTGTTTCTTCTCTTTGTTAGAAATATACTGTATGTGTGAAACTGCCACGTGACTTTGCCATACCGCAACGTTAGTGCATTCTCACGTACCCAGACCAAACCTGTGAGTGTATAATAGAACACCGTTTTTTCTGTAGGCGAAAGACAGGTTGTAAAATTGTTTATATGAAACTGTCTCTACTCTATCGATGTTTTATAGCCTCGGTTTATAGCACGCAGTGCTGTCTAGAATGACGCGAAAGGCGTACTTGGACGAGACCCTCTCTGGGGGCAGCCGAAATATGGAGGAACATTTTGTACGCGCCATGGGTTGTTCGACGAACGTCGCGAAAACTCTACGTATTCCACCGGCATGAGTTGGAGATGTGAGCGGGTTGTAGAGGTACGACCATACGACTAAGGCGTAAAGAGTGGTGACGTATCTATAGCAGCAAGCGGTAGCTAGACGCAGACACATTAGTCTGAATTCAATCTAACTGAGGGTCGGAGAAAACGTTTAGTAATCGCATTGAATCTTCACCACCACAGCCCTTGTCGTACGAGCCAGGTTTCACTTGCGAATGCGTAGTACGCATGTGTAGGGGCAGTACCCGTCAGTTCACTTTGTAATGCTTTGACAGGGGGAGTGGCCTGAAGGTAACCAAGCAGTGAGAAGCACGATTTGGCGTAATACATTGCGATCCAGCACTCAGCCGAATGAAATTCAAGTGCATGCTGTTGCTTCACTTTTTTTTTCTGTCAAATGTTCCCCGAGTGCTTGTTTGCTCAAGAAGTTTTCTGTGGGCGCCACACAATATGCAACACCACTTTATTTTTCTAAAACTTCTATGCTGCGAAAATAAATGCAGCCGTAGTAAACTATAGTTGAATGCAACGGCTCGAGATGCCTCTTTAAAAATGAACGCTAATATGGTAAGAACTTCGTTGCTACGCACGCGACACGATCAAATGTCTGGAATGTGAAAATCAAAAGAAAAATGGTGAACAAACAATGTGACTAACTTGCTTGCGTCTCAATTCATGTCGGTTGAAACATAGTGAATCGTTGCTCCTCTACTGGCCTGCTTTGTGAAAAACAGGGGCATACATACTGCTGAAATTTTAAACTGAAAAGGGTGCTTGAAGTCACATACTCTTTAAAAACAACATACACTTCCTAGGAATGAGAACCCAATTCAAGTAACACTCGTTTCAATAACTAAAAGTGCATTTAAAAGGCGGTATAGTCAAGACAATCCGAAGCTCATGCATCGTACATTAGGAACCACTGACTAAGTTTATGTTCATACGGGCAGGCTTAGCTATAGATAGAGCAACACTGCGATTCAATTCACACCAGCACTCACCGTGCGAAATACACTTATACATTCGTGAGGCCGCACGCAATCACTTAAAAGTTTCCAAGTTTCATACTCGTCACAAATTAACTTCAAAAGCAAGCCTAAAACAGAAGCAGTGGGTGTCCGTAATACTCGGCCTGTACGAGTCATTAGGGCTCGAACCCACACCCATTGACGTGCTAATTCATGTGTTCAGAGACTGAGGGTTTCTGGGCAATTAAGTGTGAATACATTACAAAATGATTGGTTCACATAACCAACAACACAATGGCAACGACATTGTATCACGCTCCGTTGTACGCCTATCACAAAGGAAGGCTTGAGCGTGTATCACGCTCAGCTTTAGCTAATCCCGAAAGGTTCAGACATCATAAAAAAAAGTAAAGAAATATGATGATGCCCATATTTTCTAAAGACGGGCAAAATGAATCTCTACCAGCATTACGGCACGTTTTGTATGAATTCCCCCGAGAAATAATAATAAAAAACACACAGAGAAAGATTATATGGGTTTGTTATGTAGAATGGTGGGGTCGCGTACATATAACTTCTTGGTGTTGTTTTCGCGTTCGGTTGTGCTAGGTTTTATACAGCGAATAGTACCTTTCGAAGAGTAGCTATATTGTGTTGTTGTTTCGCAATAAATTGTAATTTTTTTTTTCATGTCAGTGCTAAGGTGTCGTATGTAACATCTTTCACTGATTGCCTGGTATGCCGCAAGGACCCATTGGCGCGTTTTGTGCCGCGTCATCCTCTGAACCTGCTTTGTTTGGAGCGCATCGAACAAAGTTCTTGGTTGTATTTGGCATGGGTGTACGCTTCAGTGAGAATGCAGAGTGATTTCGCTCGTTTTTAAACAATGATCTGTCACTAAAATTTCGAAGACACGACCGATAGAGTGTTTTCGCTTTGGATGACTGAGAATAAAGGCTATATAAGAAAACAGCTTGCTGTCACTTCTCAATTATGGCGCCTGCATGCTTTTCTTTTATCAAAATTAAGCATGAAAAATGGCACAGAAAAATGTAATAGCTATTCTATGAATGCCTCTAGAGAAGCTCAGGGTATTTTTAGGAATACACCTTTTGGTTGAGGCTCCCTTGAAATGGTAAAGGGGTGCTGACTAACTCGAAGAATATCAGTGTAGCGTCTTTTTTTTTTTCTGTTAAAAGAAAGGCCAAGCTTTGAAGAGGTTGGATAATGTACAGGTAAGCGCGAATGCGCTCTGAAAAATTAACTACATCGGGTTTTTAAAGGCTATTTCCTGTTTTAGCCGTTGTCTGACGTTACGACGTGGCATGCACGAAACACGTGCTCACACAAGTTATCATGACATTTCTACAGCCACTTCACTCCGTGGCTCCATTGGCGACGAACGCATGCGGCCATTTGTAAGTCTTGGTACCTGACAGGTCTTGGTACCTGACATGTCTTGGTAGCCAGGTCTTGGTACCTGACATCATCACAACTATCCGTGAGACCATGGCACAAAAATTGATACCCTGGCATGACATCATCGTATGTGCTTATGTTATTGGTGCACTGCGTGAAAATTTAATTTAATGTTAAAACAAAATATTCTTTTAGCATTTCCTGAGCTCCACACTAGCTCGAAACCGTCTCAGTAAAACAGAATATTTGTGTGGCGGAGTCAAGTCAGCTTCTAAAATTTTTGTCACTACCCATTTAATCAAGAATCCTGTTTTCCACGGCGAGATGGTCAGAACATGAGGAATCGTCGCGATGAATTGGTGGATGCTCTTGTAGATGTATTTCCGACTGTTCGGATTAACGTATCTACAAGTGAGCAAATGACCCCACAGTAGACATAAAAGACTAATTGTCTGGTTCTCCAACCAAGACATCCTCGACCTGGAGGCAGCGAACTTCTCGGGGATTCCGACTTCAAGCTCATCTCGTCAATCAAGGAGCACGATGTGATTCAGGTAAGACGTCGTCGAACTTCCATAAATGAGACATCAATAGTCAAGGGGTTTCGATTCTGTAAGCGCGCAGTTGCGCTATTCTGGTAACGCTTTGTAACTGGTCTAGTAAATCGATCACAAATTGCTGCACCTTTTTACAGAAGTTGCCGAAAGAAAGCCAAAATTACAGACTGGCACGCATATAGAAAAGCGCTAAAAGCGCACGTGACCGCCATAGACGACTTGGACGAGTGGTGCAAAGTAATTCGAAATGAAAAGCAAATGTACACCAAAACTGTCGCCAGAACAGATGATACCCCTGAAGTAGACGCTCACCTTCTCCACCTGTGGGAAGCAAGAAGAAACCTCACTAAAAGATGGAAAAGGCAAAAGCGAAATAAGAAACTCAAAGCGAAAATTGAAGAAATAATGCAGCAAGCCGAACAGTACGCTAATCAACTCGCGACAGCCAACTGGGAACAATTTTGCGATTCACTAAATGGAACCCTAGGAACAGCAAAGACATGGAATATCCTAAGAGCCATGATTGACCCTCTGAAAACTAAACGCGAAGGACAAAAATCTCTAGAAAGATTATTGCACACATATCCAGGCACAAGAGATGACCTGCTTCAAGACATCTATATTAAGTGTTTCGGCGCCCGAGCCATCACAGCCCCTTACCAGGCTAAATACACTGGGCTCCCAAACTCAGAACTGGATGCACCTTTCACGCATGCCGAGGTCAGAGCGGCAATCGTCAGCATGAAACGCAACACAGCGCCTGGGGCGGACCAAATCACCAACGCCATGATTCGCAACATGAATGACGAAGCCATAACAGCGCTTCTAAACTTCATTAACAAACACTGGGTGAATGGCACTATACCACAACAATGGAAGCATGCTGTAATCATTATGATACCCAAACCAGGAAAGAAATTGGCAATAGAAAACCTCAGGCCAATCTCTCTTACCTCGTGCTTAGGCAAAGTGTTTGAGAGATTAATAAATGCCAGAGTTCAACGGCACCTTGAACAAAATAACTTGTTGCCAAACACCATGTTTGGTTTCCGCTCGAACCTTTCGACACAGGACATCCTTCTGCTTTTAAAGGAGGAAGTACTAACAAATGTTCCAAAAGCAGGAGAAAACATTGTCATGGCCATTGACATAAAAGGCGCTTTTGACAACGTAAGCCATAAGGCCATATTAGATGGGCTAGCAGCGACAAACTGCGGTCAAAGGACGTACAAATATGTACAGAACTTCCTTACTAAAAGAACCGCTGTTATCAGATTAGGAGAACACGAATCCAATGTCTTCCACCCACCGAGCAAAGGCACACCACAAGGCGCTGTGATCTCGCCTACGCTTTTCAACATAGCCATGATTGGTCTAGCCAAAAAACTGGAAGGTATTCCCGACATCCGACACTCCTTCTATGCGGATGACATCACTGTATAGACAACCAAGGGTAGCTTGGCGGAAAAAGAAGAGCGGCTTCAACTGGCAGCTAAAACTATCGAAGATTACACTAAAGAAAGGGGGCTTCAGTGCTCAGTAGACAAATCGGAACTCATTCGGTTCTCCAAGAGTAAAAAACAAAGGACAGACCCGAGCCTCCGCCTTGAGGTCAAGCTAGACGGCAATATTATACCAGAGAAAACAACTGTTCGGATCTTAGGGATGTGGTTACAGTCCAATCAGCGATGTCTCCACACACTGAATATGCTTAAACGAACAGTTCAACAAATTGTTCGTATGATAGTTCGAATAACGAATAATCGTGCTGGACTGAAAGAACAAGACGTGCTTCGTTTGGTAAAGAGCTTAGTCATCAGCAGATTAACATACTCGCTACCCTACCACAACATGAATAGAGAGGAGAAAGAAAAAGCAGACAAAATAATAAGGATGGCGTATAAAGCAGCTCTGCGACTACCACAAAGCACTTCAACTGCGAAGCTATTAGCGCTCGGACTTCACAATACATTTGATGAGTTGGCTGAGGCACAAGTAACCACCCAGATTAACCGCCTGCTACAGACGACAACCGGCAGAAAACTTCTTCAGAGGATCGGCCTCGGCGAACAAGTACAGGCACGTGGAAGAGCTAAGGAATTGTCGTGCTCAGTCAGAGCCTGGTACAAAATATGCCCCCTACCGAAGAACATGGACCCAGTTTTACATGCTGGAAGACGTAAAGCAAGAGCCGCTTACATAGATAAACAGACAAAATATTTGAATACGGCGAGATTTACTGACGCTGCACCATATCAGGTAAATGCAAAGAACATGGTGGCCGTGGTCACAGACCGAAAAGGAAACGTCACAAGTTGTGCCTCCATAGCCCAAGCCTCTATCACAGAAGCGGAAGAGATAGCGATTGCGCTGGCAATCAAGGAGGGCAGGGAGCGAAAAACCCCAATGACAATAATCACAGACTCGAAGGCTGCATGTAGGAATTACGAAAAAGGTAGAATATGTATGAAGGCCTTCCAAATTCTAACCAAAGCTCACAAGGACTTCCCAATTGAATACACCCAAACCATTGTCTGGGCGCCGGGGCACGAGGGCGTCACCGGGAACCAGTTTGCGGATGAGGCGGCTCGAGGCTTCACAGATTACCGAGCTTCCTTGCACACTGCAATAGAGGATCCAACGCCCCTAGACCCTAACTTTGGTGCAATTCTTCAGTATTACAGGGACAATAGAAAAGTGTATCCAGCACCACATAAGAAACTTACAGCAATGGAATCGGTGGCATTACGCAGAATCCAAACAAACACATACACGAACTTACACAGGCTGCATGTATTCTACCCCACAGCATACAAAGATATATGTCCGTGGTGTGGGGCCACACCAACTCTGTTTCACATCACGTGGGAGTGTACGCATCACAACGAACACCACAACATGAACAACACAGAGGAACAATGGGAGGCGCTGCTGTCCAGCTCGGCCATTGTTGATCAGCGCTGGCTGGTTCAACGGGTAGAGATGATGGCTAGGGCCAGCGGAGCCCTGGAATAGGGGCCCGACCATTTGGAATGCTCCGCGTTATGCGCAAATAAAGTTTTCTCTCTCTCTCTCTGCCGAAAGAAAACCTATCAATGTTCAAGCTGTCTTGACTTGCAGTAAGATTGAAAAAGGACATGTGTTCCATTTTGATGTGACCATGCTGGCCTCTGGCCACAGTTCCAAATAGGTTTACTCTCCCCAAGACATGCCCCGCGGCGGTGGTCTAGTGGCTAAGGTACTCGACTGCTGACCCGCAGGTCGGGGGATCGCATCCCGACTACGAAGGCTGCATTTCCGACGGAGGCGGAAAATGTTGCAAGCCCATGTGCTCAGATTTGGGGGCACGTTAAAGAACCCCAGGTGGTCGAAATCAGCGGAGCCCTCCACTACGGCGTCTCTCATAATCATATGGTGGTTTTTGGACGTTAAACCCCAGATATCAATCAATCTCCCGAAGACAAAATACTGCCAACACTCACGCTTCTTATCAAATGATGATTCTCTCTGTATAGGTGACAAAACCTCTATGCTTTCTTATTTTTATTGTTGAGCAGAACCAGAAGACGCTTGAGCTTCGCTTTCACAAAGTAGAACGCGATAGACTTCCTATGAACCACTCGCATACTTCACTCTTCGGTGGATTCCTAAATTGGGCCCCTAAGAAAGCCCAAGGGCGGACGGCCTCCGGCTCTTACATCCACGCGCGTGGTGCGATGAAAGACAACTATTGGCGATGCTGCTGAAAGCAGAGTGCTTCAATGATGGCAGTTGCGATACTGCATACTGAAATCCGAACATACCAATGACAGATTCAAGCGGATGTGATATTCGAGGTAAGGCCCATGAAACTTCGCAAACTAACGACACTCTCCTCCTCGACTTGCGTTTCTCCTAGGTCTCCTCTCCTTCGTACTTGCAGTTCGAACGTGGCACCACCTGTCTTGCTCTTGCGTAGCTGGCACCTTCTCGCTACCCGCTCATCTTTTATTTTTT